TAAACCCTAAACCCTAGACCCTCCAGGAACAGCCATCAGCCTGGCCGCCCCTTTGGGGCCGGCCCTCTGCGCCAAAAACATACGAACGGTAACGGAGATCATGAAGCCCAAGACTCGGTTTTGGGTTTAGGGTTTAGGGATAAGGAGTTTAGCGTCTGGGGTTTAGGGATAAGGGGTTCAGGGTTGAGGGCTCTGGGATACGGGGTTTAGGGTTTGGGGGTTAGAGGTTTAGAGGGGTTTAGACCTCTGCAGATGATTCTCGAGCAACCTCGCAAAAGCTCTGCAGGGTTGACAGTCATGTAACATCCTGTGCAACCCCTGCATACACACCTGGAAAGCCACATGCAGCCCTTCTACAACTCCAGCAGTCTATAGCAAACACCCTATGCCACCCTATGGACACATCGAAGCTCCCTTTGTCCACATCCTAGGCACAGATGCACAACTCTCTGAATCAAGGTTCGAAACCGGTCGAAAAGCTCGTAAAATACCTGCAAGACCCGATACATAAACCCTGCATCATTCTCAAACCTCCAGAAACCACATCGAACTTTCGCAAATTCGGCAGACCCGGTCAGCCCAAACCAAACTGAAAACGAGAAGAGCCCCTGCAAACTCACAAAAAAGCAATCCTTAAACCCCAAACCCCCAAATCCCCAAAACTGTGAAGCCTAAAACCCAAAACGCCAAAACCCTGAACCCCAAAAACTCTAAAACCCTGAACCCAAAATCCTGAACCCCAAAAGCCCTAAACCAAAAATCCAAAAACGAACTCCAGAGCCTTGGCAAGCGCACTCCGCCCTTGAGCCGAAGCCCAAGCGCCCTCCAAGAGCGCTTCACACCTGGCTTTCGTCGGGTTTAGGGGTTAGGGGTTAGGGTTTAGTGGTTTAGGGTTTAGGGTTTAGTGGTTTAGGGTGTAGGGTTTAGGAAGTTTTGGGGTTTGGGGTGAATTTAAGGCGTATACCTTATACCACCATAACCGACTCTGTTGTAAATTCAAAACTTGCGCCCCTTGCAGAGAATTTATGAGGATCCTACGAAAATAGCCGGTTGCGGTAGTTCAAGGTGGGGTTTAGGGCGGGCTGGGGCGTTTTGACTCAGAGCTTCAGGTTGCTAGTTTAATGCTGATGTCGGGGTCTTAATAACTAGAATAAGATTTCGGGGTATATTATACCATAGGTATAATATGGAACCCCCAAAACAGTATAGGTATTCATTTAAGCCCCTGTATTATGGTTGGGAGTTTCGGGTTAGGGCTTCTTGTTTACGGCTTACGGATTCAAGGTTTGCTAGGTTTACGCTTCTATACGGGTGCACAGGTATGCTCTAACTGTCCAAGTCCAAAGCGGGTTACTATAAGGGTTCAGGGTTTA